CCGACCCCTCTGTGAAATGACAGTCACGTCTTTTTAAGGCTTGCTGGTCCAAGCAAAGGTTTACCTGGCAGCCAGAGACCCCAGCATTTCTCAGACCCCATACGGGGGTCTACAGAGGCCCTGAGGAGTTGGCTTTCAGAGAAGGTACGCTCATTCCTGTTCCCCAGCCCAGTGCAATGTTTGCGGCGCGTCTACCTCCACCCGCCCCACCCCACCTACTACCCTCCCTGTTGCCCCCTAAATTTTCTGAGGTCATCAGCGGTCCATGGCAGTCCCTCCTGTCCCTGCCTCCGACCTGCGCACACCTAAGTGGACCGCTCTGCTCTCCGCAGACGCTCCTGGGCCCGTGGCCTCTTCTGTGGGTGGCGGCAAGTGCAGGAAAGGACCGCCACATGGCTGCGTGTTCCGGCCGGGGCGCAGGGATGCCGAGGGCTTTGCCCGATCCCACACGGCAAGCCCGAGAGCGGGAACCGATGGCCGGCTCCCTGCCTCCGCTTCCAGGGCTGCTTGTAAAGAATTGGATTCTCATCTGCAACTCAATTAGCTTCCTTTTTTGATATCAAGATGTTTTCTTACATTTGTCCTAGACAGACAGCTCTTATTCTGACTACTATGGTGGTGGATTAAGGAGCATTTGTAGGGATTATAACTTCTCCCTTATGAAGGCCACAGCCTCTCAAATGACTATAATTTCTGTGGGCCAATCTGTGTAAAGGCTACCTGTGTTGCCACGTCGCTTGTTCCCAGTGACCTGATCCAGAGGTGACATGAGTTGGACGCGCTCCCTTTCCCTGGGATAACAGTCAACTATCATGCTGATATGCGCTGGTGCTGAGCCATGCGGACCCAGAGCAGGCCTGCTGGTTTTGCACAATGCTGCAGTGAAAGGACTGAGGTTTCATTGGTGACTGCCGGGCCAAGGGGAGGATTGCTCTGGCATGACAAAGAATTAGACCAGAAAGCAGAAGGAAAACACCCCGGGTCTGAGGTCCTTCGAGCTGTGCTGGGATCAGAGCAGGCAGTGAATGCAGAGGCCCAGGCTGCCTTGCCGGCCGCCCCGCGCTGAGCAGCTCCGGGTCTGGCTTCCCTTCTGCCCTGTTTGGAATTGTAGGGAAACAACTGCCCTCAGAGGCCACTGACAACACACACACAGGCAGGTGTCACAGCTGAGTCTCAGAAGGGGTGGCTTCTGAGACTAAAAGACCTGGTTCATTTAAAGAAGCCGGAAATGTGATTATAAAAAGTAGTCGTTTTCATAGTTATGTCAAACTCTTGTGTTTGTGATGCATACCTGCGTAGCCTGCAGGTTGCTCTGGGATGGCTGATACAGCAGCGTTTTGCACGATGGGAACCTCTTCAAAGGCAGCGTCACCTGGGACCTTGCTACTCAAGGTGAGCCCCTGGACCAGCGGCATCCACGTCACCTGGCAAATGCAGATGCCCAGGCCCCAGCACTAGGACCAGCATGGGGACAGGTACCTCCTGCACACGGGAAGTCTGAGTGGCAGCCCTCGCTAGTGAAAAATAGCCTTGGTCTGAGAACTATCCATGGGCCCCCGTCTCTGTTCACGTGATCCTGGGCAAGTCATTTTTCTGTGCTTTAATTTTCCCATCTCTAAAATGGGAATCACTCATCCTCACCTATTTAATAGTAAAGAGGTGAAGACAGTGACAATTGTATTCAAATAGGTCACTTTATTCAATAAGTTGCAAGATGTTATAAAAAGCATGGGTAAAAGTTGGAACGACAAATGTTCTTCAGTAATGATGATGGTAGCATTTTGATTTCACGGTGCGAAAGAATAAGCATTTTTCACAGCCAGGGCGAGATGGGGGCTCCTTCAACTCACCCCCATTCCATAGACCCTGTCGTACCTGGATGTAAGTAATTCTCCAGAAGTTACTTTGAGTAAGAACCCTCAAGGAGACAATTCAATTTCCAAATGTAAATTCCAACAACATACAGAGGGAACACTATTGCTACCAGTGCCCCGGCGAGAGATGAGGTTTTCTACAAAATGTGATTGCCTTTGACATTGTCGCTGTTCCTGTGAAGTGGTTTTTCAATGTTAAAAGAAGCTGTTTCTATTGGGAAAGGATTTGTTCATGTAAAGTTGAAAGTTTACGCTTGTTATGCATGAGTTCGAGCGAAGGGAGACAGGAATGATGTGGAAAGACATGAATGTTCAATGTCATGTGGTTTTGAAGGGCTTGTTTCCGAGCCTTAATTATGATCTGTCATTTGTGTGGAGTACGCGGTTCTTGGCACATGTGGGGACGGGACGTGGGCCCTCGGATGTCTTCCCACATGCATCCCCTTCACCTTCAAACCCTCCTTGCCCTGCTGAGTGAATCCTCCCCCCAAGGAGCTGGTGTGCAGGATTCAGAATTCCATTTCCAGTGGAACAGCAAATTCAAATTCTAGATATTTTGCTCCGAAGGCAAAAACTATGATGGTCAAACATCAGCTTTCTACAGTTAAAAAAAAAAAAAAAAAGTCAGGTGACATCATTCTAGAAAAGCATGAACACTCTACACATGATTTTATTTGATTTTCTTTATTTGATACATACAAATACATTGGTAGGAGACAAAGACCTTCCTTGTACATTAAAACCAAATTGTTGGTATTCAGCCATTAATTCCTTTGAGGGGACTTTTTTTTTCCTTCTAACCTTCAAAAGACTGTCATATTTAGGTGACACAATCAAATGATCTAGAATCCTAACTTGTGCTGGATTAAAGAGTCGAATACACTCTGATGGGCAGAGCTGTGTTACTTTTACTGGGTTTATCGTCGTCTCATCCACAAAAGGATTTATGTTAATAACAAAGGCCACTTGTTGTTCTGTAACACTCGTAACTGGCCATTCATGCAAAGACCTTGGCGGCCGGTAAAAAGGATCAAAGAGAGGTGGCCATACACAACAGGCAGGGCAAACGCCCGAGGTCCAGCTTCCCTTCTGAGCCCGGTGGACTCTGAACAACGAGGCACCTAACCTTTCTGGGTCCCAGTTTCTTCACGTATAAAGTGGGCAGAACTAGATTCTTCCTTAAATCCCAAATTTTACTGTTCATAGGGCAAGGAGGTCTCCTCACTTACGAGGGCCAGAGAGGGACGCAGGCTGCTTCCAGTCCCAAGTGTCGGCAGGGAGGGACCGCCGGGGTTGGGCAGGGAGGGACGGCCACACTTCAGGGTGCGGGGTACCAGGCAGCGTGCTCTTCTACGTGGGACGCCCTTTATTTCTCGAGAGCGTCTCTACGTATTCCACTGACCGAAAACTGTTCACGTGACTCACTCTAAGACTCTGTTCAGCTCTTTGCACGTCGAGGATAAAGCTCAACAGGGGGGAACATTTCCTGAGCTCTAAGCACAAGTCTGTCTTTCTTGGGGAATGCTACCACCTGCCAGCAGGGTGTGTTTTAATTATTAATTCAACTCCACATTGGCAGACAGATACTGTCAGATAGCGTCCTTCGAGAGAAACTTTTCCTTGTGGAGGGGGGCACGCGTTCGAATTTCTGCGGCTTTGGATCCGTGCTTCTCAGCGCCTGTGAGACACGTGCTGGTATCCCCCGGACTGCACTCCACGCGGTACTTACCCCACACGCCTCCCCAGCACCCTGGTGTCTCCTGGCCTGCGGTGAGCTGGCGTGGGAGGGTGGGTCTGCCATGGGCACCAGTCAGTGCTAGGGCAGCAGTGACACAGACCCCTGTTAGTCTTGCCACCACACCCCACCAGCTACTCAGGTCTAGGGAAAGGACCAGACAGAAGACTGGAGCGTACGCAATTGAGGTGTCCACCTTACTTGACCTTCTCTGAATATCAACTGTCTACTACTAAGAATGGAACTGATGCATGTTAGCAAAACATCATTTGGGAATTCTGCATAACTTTTATTTATTAATATTAATTTATTTTTGCCAAGGTTCCATGGTTTCTCCACTGTAACAGCAGTAAGAGTCTTTTCATACCAAACATTCCTCCTTTTATGAGTCGAAATAACTTGATGCTGAAAGTCTAGTAGAAATAGCAAAGTTTAAAATGACGATACCGGCAGTACCGATGATCCAGTTTTGCATTTTGACTTCTGACATGTGACCCTAAATATTTAATTTGGGGCCATACCTGGGAAATTAGTTATAGAAAAAAAATCTAACTTTAATTTTTAAAAAACATACAACTTGCATAGATAAATCTTTTGTCTTTAAATAAGTACTATACATAGCAAAGTATTAAATAAAATAAGAGAGTGCAACATATAGAGAAAAGTAACGGTGAATTCATCAAATCAGGATGTTCTGCATTTGAGTTGGCATTCACAACACTTGCAGCACCTAGGAATGACCACCCAAAGTTGACAGTGCTTGCTCTTTTTTCATTGTATTTATTCCAAAAGCCTCACATGGCTCATGTGTTTTTACATAAATCTGAAATATGGTATGTATCCCATATGTCCATGTGGTAAAGTGATCAACAAAAATATTTTCAGCATTTAGCACCCCACACTCTCTTAAAGGGAACCCTGACTGCAGTAAATTCACACTAATTGACAATTCCTGGGAAGGGGTTAAAACACTACCCAGGTACAAGTGGGTGGCCATTACAAATGTTACCCAAATAAAAGCCAGAAACAGAAAGCCAAAAAACAGGTCCCTAAGGCAGGCATGTGTCTTAAATGATATCATTTGTCAAGTTTCCAGCATCTTGTGGTGAACACAAAAAGAAGGTCTGTGTTGTACTGAGGACATTACACCCTCATTAGCTGGAATGTTCTTCAAGTACATCATGCAAGATTTTCATTTTAATAAGAAGCAGCTACTTGTCACTGCACTTTCATTAGATAAATACTGAATATAATATTAATGGCCATTTACAGAGGATCTATTCTACTCTGGAGAAACTTCATTCAGATGAAATCATATAATAACCATTTATAGAACATATCCTGCAAAACTTCCACCATGTCTTTGCAAACTATTCTCTGGAATTTTTTTGTTTTTAATGCTGAAATCAGTTAACAGCAAGTATTCATCACCAAAGGGACCCCAAATGACATTGTTGGTATGATTCACGTGCAAAACAGGTTTAAAGGAAGAGCTTTGGCTCTTTAGAAGTTATAACTGAAGGCTCTTTAGAAGTTATAAGGGATCGGTGGGGCTCCTTGGTTTCCCAAGAGGCAAGCTCCTTCCACCCTGCCCGGCCAGTGACCTTAAGCCCGATGTGCAGAGAAGGCCACACTGAGAACTGAGAAATAATTTATCCACTGTGATTGTTCCACCCTGGCCCCTTTTCTAAAACAAAGACTGACAATTGCCCTGAATTATGGATGTACTTTTGGTGATATGTAATACAGTTCCGAAGAAAGGTGTTGAGCCCACTGCACAATTTCACCTCCCATTAGAGGCTCGTCATGAACAATAATCCCAGAAGATGAAACTGATGCTGAACTGTGACCCTCAATTTACAAATCATTTTTCAAAAGAATAAAAAAAAAAAAGTTTAAACATATTTTTGGCATTATCTGAATGGGCGGAATCTTTCATGCTTGTTTTCTAAGAATAAATGAAAACAGCATGCACTGTACTTTCTTAGTTTGGGGAAAGAGAGAACATGAGGTTTTCAGATTATATTTTATTTTAAACCTGGGTGTTTGAATTTTATTTTTACATAGCTGGATTTAGTATATTCCCTGAAAACATAATAAATTTCTATTCTGTAGCTTAAGGGATCCATCAGTTAAAATGTTGGTCTTTCATCTTTATTACCCTCCCATTAAAATGAAAGAAACCGGGACTCACTTCAGTTTAGAAGAAGCAATTTAGTTGGTAATGTCCTTACTCCTCAAGTCTTTACAAAGGGAGAAAGTACATTATTGCTCAGATTTCACACATCTATCTGCATAAGAAGCAACTAAGCCTTTTTCAGACATATACTATGTTAAATTTAATAATATTCCTTGATTAGATTATTTTATTACGACATTTTTCCATTACCAGTCATTTCCTGTGCGCAGTCACATTCATAAAACCTGTTTCTCCCCCTTTGTTTGTTTGTGTGTCTAAAAGCGAGGCAAAGTCTCTTCCCGTTTTGCTGTAGCTGTTAGGGCTGAAAGGGACAGATTAATAACTAAGCACCACACTGGACGAGCTCTCCCTGTCCCCTGCACCAGTAACCCTTTGCTATAATGAGGACACAAAGAGCCTCACATCAGGCGGCTACCCTTCTTCATAACTCAGACGCGTCACAGTGGCAATAGCCTCTAGTGCTATTTGTCTTTAGTGCAGTTGTGACACTCCGGCATGATCCATAATTTGGCAGCTATTTACCGTGACATTTCCCTTCAGTGCAGCCATAACATTCAGTGAAGCCATTATTTGGTTCCATTTACCATATAAATTGTATTGTTGTGCATGCATGCTAGCAGCTACATTAGGTACCCGAAAATGAGTAAATCTTGTAAAATAGATACTAACAGCTACTCGGCAGCAGGATTTCCTTGTTCCTTACAGGGAAGGGAAGAAAAAAAATTAAATACGGTCCCCAACTTTTCCTGGAGCCTCTTTAATTGGGTCCGTATTTACTGAGCACGTTGCACACGCGGGAGCCCCAGACTGGGAAAAATAACCGGGTGGGCTTCACCTCCCTTCGGCAGGGCGCCGTGGGATTTCGGGATTTCGGCGTGACGACGGCGAGAGCTGCGGCAGGCCTGGGCACGGGGGTTCAGAGGCGAGCGGATCCGCCGTGGGCGCGATTCAGGGGAGGCGCAGGTCTCGAGGCTCTTCCCGTGTGGTCGGTGGATGGCTGTGTCACTCCAGGCGACGGTGACAACCAGCGTGTCACTCCACCAGAACACTGGGGGGAGCGAGAATGGGAGCACAGTTCTGCGTTCCACAGTCAGAGATAACCCGCACCTCCCACGCCTGAAAGCCTCGGAGGAGAAGCAGATGTATTATTATTTTAGATCACTTAGGTCCCCATTGTGCTCAGTGCTATCTGATGCGTCCTGCGTCAGGCGCCCGGAGCACGCTGTTATTAATCTCCCGCCGAGAGCCCAGAGAGCGTCTCCCCTCTGCGGTCCGCGCCGGGCTGCCTGAACCCTCGCTGCCAGCCTGGAGCACGCCCTGCCCCTCTCCCGGGTGTGTTCATCTTACACAGACCCCCCATCTCCTCGGTCTCCCTGTCCAAAACCCACTTTCCGTCTACGTGAGTTTTCAGCACGGATTTGCTTCTTAAGAGGGCAGGTACGTTTTCCACTCGCGTGTCTCACCTCCCGGTGACCGTAGATAAAAGCCACGAAGTAACAGATACTTCTTGAAAATGCATCTGTGTTCACCTAACCACTTTTCTAATAACGCAACAAAATCGAATTTGGGGCAGGATTCCCTCGCATTTCTGTCTAGATAGCTGCTCAGTGATTTGCAGAGAAAAGGGGCCGTTGTCCTGAGGACACGGATGCTGACAACACGTGGCTGGCTGACTTGTGCCATGTCGCTCACTTAGCGAGTACCGATTAGCATGAGACCAAATCCTCCCAGAGCAAAGGAGAATTTGTGAACTATTTTCAAGGCTGATTTTAAAATCTCATCAAGCTGAAGACATACTGATTTGATCAGATCTTGCATCAGGAATTCATTTAGTTCCCTGGAACAATAAAATCTGGAATGAGACTGTCCGTGACTAAAGAATTAAATGTAAACATTTTACCTCTTAGCCATGGAGGGAGATTTTTATTAGCACATTTTGTTTTTTGTTTTTTTTTTTCAAGGGAGGAGGAAGAAGAAAAGAACAGAGAGGGAGAAACCCATTCATTAATATCTTACTTTTGTTTTAAGACATATCATATCCCTTACCAACTAAAAATAAATTGATTTGAGTAATTCTGAGGCATAAAGTACCCATTTTCTTTCTCCTTTGATTTATGTCATTGTTCTGTTTTTACAGCTTACTGTTGACAGAGTGAGGTAATTCAACTACAATCTTTCCAGTGTTTTTCCCCATGTACATGTAATCGACGGCACGGAATACAGACTGCAGGCCAGTAAACCTGCCTTCCGGAGACAGATCTCCAAGGTCCACCTCGCAAACCAGGTCTCCACTCTCCCACATCTTGAGCAAGTGGTCCATGGCTGCTTGGTACTCAGACATGTGATGGCTCAGGAAGAAGCCCCGGACGCTGGCAGATTTCTTCAGCAGCTTGGCTGGCAACGTTCCCGCCTTCACAGGCGAAAGGCCGGTTGGAGTCTGATAGCCAGAGATAAACCCAATGACTATCAAGCGCCCCTTGGTAGCCAAGGCGTCTACGGCCAAGTCGAACACGGTGCCCCCCACAGACTCATAGACCACGTCCACGCCTCTGGGGTACTCCCGCTTAAGGACGGCACCCAAGGGCTCAGTTTTATAGTTGACGGGACGGTCGCAGCCAAGAGATTTCAGAAAAGCAGACTTTTCGTCAGAAGAGCAGGTTCCAATTACATGGCACTTGGCCTTCTTTGAAAGCTGCACGGCAAACTGGCCCGTCCCCCCAGCTGCTGCTGTCACCAGAACTTTCTTCCCTTCCGACAGTTCTCCGAGCTCCTTCAGGCTGATGTAGGCGGTGGTGCCGCTTACCAGCAGGGCGAGATACTCGGGTTTCACCGAGGGCAAGGGGGTTGCAATGCTGGCAGGCACAACTGTGTACTCTGCAAAAGAGCCAGGTGCCATGTACGCCACGGCCTGGCCGACTGTGTACCTGGCACTGGCAGAGAGGCCCAGCGCCACCACCTCCCCGACACCTTCGAAACCTATGTCAAAGGGGGGCCTCACGGAAGGGTCATAGCGGCCTGCCGAATAGTTGATGTCGGACGCGTTAACACCAACAAATCTAGAAGAAAACAAACACATATATTACCATTTTGTTGCTGTTGTTAAGGCCTTTAAACCCCACAGAATTTGAGAAAACCAGTCCTGCTGTTCAGATGGAAAAAAAAGAAACGAAACAAGTATGAGTTCGACAGTGATTTGCACATAGTTCTGGCGTATTTTATTCTTTCATCAGTTTGGGAATAATTTCTTATCGCTTTAAACAGCAAGTTATTTATTTCACATGCCATTTATTTCTGCCTGTCCTCTTTCTTTCAAAAGGAGGAATAAGCAGAGATACACGAAATGGTCAGGGAGCCCTCATTATATACAAACTTCACTGGAGCTGTGAGTTGGAAATTAATTGGCCTCTTAACAAAGATGTTAAAAACAACACTGGGATAAAATATATTCAAAGAAGTAGACTTGTATTGATTCTGGCAACAATTTAACACTTAAGATAATAATAGTAATGACAATGATATTATTAAAGATTGATGTAATGTGCAAGGTCACTGGTTGCTACATGTTACTGCAGGGTTGTTTGAAACATTGTTAAAGTGGCCGCAGCAAATTTTCTTTCTGACGTAACTGTGTCCAGTATGAAAATATGCATTTTGATTAATTGAACAAAAATTGGGTAGAGCCATTTTTACGGAACATTCAACATTTTACAGTCCTTTTCAGATGAAAAGGAAAGCAAACCGTCACTATATTTTCCCTCAACAAGAAGCAGAGACACAACTTGATTAATACCAGATGATTATTTTCATTTTGGTATCCAGAGTCAATTTAATTGCGAAGGCCAGTATTTTTCTCAGCTTTTCTTCATCTCAGTATACCTCATAACAAAAATATCCTGATAACACAGGGGAAAAAAATCCATCTACTAAGAATGTCAGGAGGTGGCTTAGGCACATAACAGAGGACCCTAAAAATGTCATTTCCACCCGTAATGAAATGAAAAGGTGGCAGTGTCTGGTGGCAGGAAGAAAGCTGTTAAGTAGATCATTTTAAAAGAATTCACTCTTAATTCAACTTAATACACCGAAACTGCCCCGTATGAGGGTATGCCTTCACTGTAACATGGATAATATCTTGCACTTGTAAATGCTCCCTCATGATTATTCCCTGTGTATCTGCAGTAAAGCGTCTACATGTTGTGGAAGAAATCGGGGGAAACGATTTCTTTCTGTTGTCCAGCCCTATTCAGAAGTCAGCTCACCACACTGCCTTGGTGACAGGCTACAGGACGCCATGCCCATAAACGATGCACAATAATGAGAAGAGGGGGAAATGACTTTTGCTGGTTTCTCATTTGGCATTTAATACCAAGATGCCTACTTTCTATTTTTAGAGGACGGAGGCCTGCCATCTTTCCTTTAAATTTACATAATTCTCCAGGTCTGGTGTTTTCTAAAAGGGCCGGCTTCCCGGGAACTCACTGCTTCTGGACTTCACGCAGCGGCCCAGGGCAGCGCCCAGCTGGAGCGGTCTCCGAGCTCCTGCCTCAGGCTGCAAAGCAAACTCCAGGATAGGGCCCGGGGTGGGTGGGGAGGCACACCGGGTGGAACCACGGTTGCTTGGAGGTGGGGGGGGCACGAGCCCGACCCAGCACCAGTTCTGTTTTCTGAGCTACTTCGCCCACGATTAACCCTTCCTGTGCCCCTTGCCCCTCCCAGGCTGTCCCTCCTGGCGTTTCAGCTGGAGTGGCCGCTCCTCTGCGGGGAGCCCCCGCCTTAGGCTCCCAGGGACGCCCCGATGGCGACCAGCTCTCTTGCGTCCTGCCCACCTCAGAAGGGGCACACTCCGCGGGGCTCTGCAGGAGGAAAACGCAACTCCCCCTCTCCCCGCCCCACGCTGTGGTTTGCCACTTCCCGAGAAGGGCTGGAGGGTCACACGGGGAGAGCGCACACGCGCTGGATGGGGTTACAAAGGCCAAGTTTGGGAGGGGGAGTGGGGCTCTCTAGGGATCTAGGGTGGCTGCAGGCGGCGTGGGCAGCCTGGGTTTGCCAGGGGGCTTTGCCTGAAAAGCCCCTCAGAACACTCTGGTTATTAGCACCATCGGGGATAGAGCCCTAGCAGGGCCCGCGCGCCCCGTCCAGCTCTCCGTCTCCCCTGCGGCGGCTTCGCTGTGCCCTGGCCAGCCTATGGGGCGCCCGCCAGAAGTAGCTACTTCTGGGCCCGACTTCCTCGGGAGTGCCGGGCCACCGCTGTCGGCTCGGCTGGACCCGTGCGGTCCTGAGGCCTCCCCACCGCCGCCACGGAGAGGGGCGATCAAGGACCACAACTCCCAGAGCAGGCTAGAGCTGCGCCGGCCCGGCGCCGGGGTGGAGCAGCCGATGCCCAGGCCTGCGACCAGGACCTCGGCCTCCCTGGGCCCGCCCGGGGACCCAGCGGGCGCGCCTGGTCCGCACCCTTAGCCCCTGCGCCGGCTGCGGAGCTAGGTCGGTCCCGGCGGACAAGCTCTGAGTCCCAAGCACGCTGCGCACTGGAACGCAGTGGCGCCAGAGAGGGCTCCCTGGCTGCCTGACCGTGACCTTGGCCTCGCAAGCTCCCCTATTTCTCACCCTCCGTGCCCCCCAGCCTCCACTACGCCCTGTAGTCTTCTAAATCGCCTGCGTCGTCGGTGAAGGCGGCTTGGGCTGGTGGCAACAGCCCGCAGCTGCTCGGCTCCGCGCCCTGCGCCCTCTCCCCGGTCTCCCAGCCTCCTGGTGCCCGGACCTTCTTTTCTCCCTGGACCCCTATTTTGACACTGCTTCCCCTCAGCGGCTGGTGGGGACCTGTCACAGCCCAGGAGCCTCCTCCTTACCTGCGCTCTGAGAAGACGCTGCACGAGGGTCGGGAGCCCGCACCTCCCGCTCCGCCAGAAAAAAGTTCAAGTGCAGCAGGCGCAAAGGGAAGGGGCTCAGGGTCGGAACCGGGAAGGGGTAGCGAGCCACCACCAGGCAGACAGGCGAGGAAGGCTGCGCGCATTTGGAGACCCTCCCTGTACCCCCTTGAATGGAAAATGTGTGCATGTCCTAAGTGCACGTTCTAGCAATCCGACGGGAGGATCCACTTAAAAGACTAAAATCCAGGAATCCCGGGAAAAAGAAAGGGACAGGTGCAGACTTTCCCTAAACATATACCCTTCTGGAGTCACTCGGTTTATTTGTACCAAGCAGCGCTGACCCCCTCGGTCATGTGTGAGGCAGGGCGCTCCTGCGGAGGGGAGGGACACGCTTTCCTCCGCACAAAACCCAAACGCTGAAGACTCAAGTCCGGAGCGAAAGCCTTACATTGCTGAGAGACAAAACAAAGTCTTCCACACCAGACATTCCTTAAAAAAGAAAAGAAAAAAAAAAAAGAAAGAGGAAAGAAAAAGAAAAGAGAAAAGAAAGAAAGGGAAAAGAAATCTCGGCTGGAGAGTCAGCAGAAATATTGTTCCCCTCCCATGAGCAACAAACCGTTTATCAAAAACGCCTCCCCCATCCCCCACCTTCCCCTCGCCATTCCTACAAACTCTTTGCTCCATTATCTTACACTTGAGCAGAAAATCGTTAGAAATATTTGGAAACGAAATAATGCCACCTTCTTACGAAATAAGCTAAAAATAGGGCGTAAAATGACTTTAACCTGGGGGTGTCTCTCTCCCTTTCTTTCCCCCACCCCCAAGGCTGAGCACAGAGGGAAAGATGTTAACTTGTACTACATCCACTAAACAGTAAGGTGAGAACTGGATAAAGGACTATCAATTACACATTCAACAGTGATTTTATACTTCCCTTCTCATGCCTTTTCTAAATGGTAAACTTTATTATCCTAAATCCACGTCTAGCTTACAAGCACATCCTTCCCTCCCTGTGAATGAAGAATTTGTATTTTCTGTTAAGATGGAATGAAATATGCAGGTGGTTCACTGAAAGAAAAAGTCAGATGAGCACAATTACAACCACCAAACACCTTTTCAAACAAGTGAATTGAGGCTTAATCCATTCATTCCAGAGCTGATTTTTATTATGATAAAAATGAGAAGTGGTTTGAGTAAAAATTTGACGCAATTAACACTGCTCAGAGGAGATTTAGTCTGGGATTAAAATGAACTAACCTTCAGTGAATTGCTATACCCCCATTTTTAAAAAAATTTCGGTAAAATGCCACTTCCACCGACAATGTTTGCAAGAATAAAGGATCTTTCTACCATTTGGTGATAGGAGTAGATTTTCCTGGGAGAGGGGCAGCAAGATTATGGCCCCTCCCAACTAGGAGAAAACTGGCCCCATTCTTTTCTGTTACAGATTCAAGGCAGAAGTTAGAGGTCAAGTTGCTCCTATAGATATACCATTTATATTGAAGGCATTCTTGACGTATGTGGAGGGACAGAAGAGGCATGGGTTTTAAGGCAACCCAAACTGAGGAGCTGCAGACATGGGTGCTGGTGGTCCCGGGCTCTGACCACTGGATTCAGGGATCCACGTTGTCCTCACCTTGGGACCAACCCTGGTGGCCCTGTGCAAGTGGCACCAGGGCACACCGCCTGGTGCACACCGCAGCAGCCACTGCGGGGGAAGAGCAGCCCTTGGGGGAAGGGGCAGGGAGGGGAATCTGAGGAGGGAAGAACCTCCGGGAGCTGGTTACCACCTGCAGGGAGAGAGGCCCAGGAGACCCGGCTCAGCCCAGCGGGGAGCAGTCCCCACTGAGGGCCGGTGGTCCCCCTGGGCTGTTGCTTGCAGTGCTCTAACTTGACACCTTCCCCCTTTCTATCCCCTGGGGTCACCTCCTCCCCATTTCACACCCAGTTTCTAAAAGGAATTTTATTAACGCAGCTGTGTGTGTTTATATTAGTGTTCACAGTCAATAGTATACTTTATCACCAAGATAAAAGAAAAAAAAAAAGCCCGAATAGAACTTTTTTTGCCTGTTGAAGTTTGTTTGGAAAGCTTTCCAAGCCGGTCTCAGCTTCTAGGGACTCACTGGTGCATTCCGCATGCTCTCTGAGAACAGGCACACTCCAGCCCCTTTCCTGCTTGGCCAGGCTCATGCTTACTCTCCACAGCACTAGTGTTTCATCACGTAAGGAAGCAACCCTCCACACCACGGTGCACCCACACACACACACCACTCTTTAAGGCAGCCCCTACAGCCCCCCAAACTCAATCCCACCCATGGTTCACTCAGTCACTGCCCCCAACAAGTTTCTGAAAGTTTGTATCCTGATCAGCATTCTTCAATCCTACAGTCTTGTTTGGAAGGCTGGCATGAATCTCTAAAATGCTGCACCAAACTACTCAGGACGGGTACCTTTTGCCCTGTCCTTCAGTCCCTGCAGGAACTGACTGTACTTTTCTAGCACACAATTCACAACTTAGTTGCAGTCAGAACTTACACCTCCCTTCGGTAATATGATAATATTATTCAACCTGGACTGCGCAGCACCGTGAGGTTCCGGCGGGACTCGGCAGGCCGAAGGGCATAGAGGAGCACCTCGCCCGCCAAGTCGGGCAGCCGGGACCCGCGCAGCAGAGCCCCAAGCGGGCTGGGCTCCGGCACGGAGTGAGGTCCTTTCCTTCCTGTTGCTTCGCCAGTGACTAGAGATTAGTGAGGTGGAAACACGTTAAGGTGGGGAGCGTGGGGGTGGAAGGGACGGAAGGTCGGGCAACCACCCGGGTGTCACCCAAATGTCGCAAAACCTGCAGGCAAAGGCAGCCGTGCCCTCACCCCAGCCCTGGCCCAGCTGCCCCGGGCACAGCGCTGCGCGCCTGTCGTTACACTCAGGGGACAGACAACAGTCACACGGCACTGACAACAGGCAGACAACCCCGGCGAGGTGCACACCAACACACCCAACGACAGCCTCCGCCATTTCGAGGCGGTTGGCGACCTGGAGGGGACAGGAAAAGCCAGCCGGGTCCCAGCCTCCTTCCTCCAAAGCACGTTTACCTAAACGTCGCAGCTTGTGTCCAGGCTGTTCCTGCTCCACCCTAAAGATTATGTCAACGCAGGAACCGTGGGTGCGCGCGGGTGGGCCGGCGGGGAGCCTCCCCTTCTGGGTCCCGTCGGTTTTATTTCGGGAGCGGGAGGGGGAGGAGGGAGGGCTGGAGGAGGGGAGGGGAATCCCAAATTAAAATAACCCTCAGTTATGAGGACGTTCGGTGGCATCGGATATTCACACTAGCAAGTCACATTACATTCGCCTTCGCCAGATGGCGGCGGGTTCAACTTCCTGGGATCTCGCAAAGTCAGGCGGTGCGCCTGGGCGCGCCGGAGTGTGGCACGCGGGCGGGCCCGGGACAGCCGGAGCTGCGCGGAGCCGGCCGGGGACCGGGACTGGGGCCGGGGGTCGGGGGTCGGGGCCGCGCCGGGCTCACCGGTTCCGGACGAGGAGGTCTCCGTCCCCGGGAAGCGGCACCCGGCAGTCCCGGCGCAGGGTGACGGCCTCGCGGAAGTTGGGGCTCAGCTGGGTCACCACCAGCTTCTGCATGGCTTGGGGAATGGCGGAGCCCTGGAAGTCCAGGAAGTGGCGAGCGTACGACATGTCCACGATGGCCCGGGCCCCGGCCGGCGCCAGCCGCAGCATGGCCCGCGCCTCCGCCCGCTCTCTGCGCCGCTGCTGGCCCGGGTCGCGCCCAGCCCGGGCGGCTCGCTCGGCTCGGCGCGGGCGGCGGGCGGCGAGCGGCGGTCCGCCTCCTCCGGCCGGGCCCTCCCCTCGGCTCCCCCCGCTACGCCCGGCTCCCGCTCCCCCGCCCCCAGCCCCGCCGCGCGCCGCGCCCCGCGCCCGCACAGCCCCAGCGAAACCCGGGCGCGCCACCCGGGTGTCCGAGCCGGGACCGCGGCGCCCCGGCCGCTGCTCCTTTAATCTTTTTGTTTTGGTTTGAATCTGCTCGGCGCAGACTGGCCGAGGATCCTCTCCGCCCTCCCCCTTCCTCCTGGCGCGGGAGAGGCACCGGATATCCCCACCCTCCCGGGCTCGGGCTCCAAAAGCCGGATTTGACTTCTCGGGAGGGGGGCGGGCAGCGAGGGGACTCGCGCGCCGGGCGGCCGTCCGCGGCCCGAGCCGGCAGCAGCCCCGGGCGTCCCCGGAGCGGCGCGGCGCCCGGCGCCCGGCGCAGGCGCCTCCCCTTCCCGTGCGAAGCGTTCACTTCCTTGCAAGGTGGTACGAATCAACCCCGAGCGCGGCCGGGGCGGCGGGGCACGGCCGGGGGCCCCGGGCCGGGCGGGGAGACCCCGCCGCCTGTGCCCGCACAGGAGAACCGACCGCGGGCAGGGGGGCGCCCAGTGCGCCCGCCCCGCGGCCCGGGCTCGCGGCTCCCCGTGCCCCGAACGGCTGGCCCGTGCCTTCTGTCCTCGGCCTCGGTCTGTCCCATGCAAGTTGCACGAACTAAGCCATTTTATTTATTTTGGCCTAGATTTCGTGTTTTTCCATGAATGTTTTAAGTAGCTGTACGAGGCTGTTACCGGTATCCCACTGGGAGAGAACACACATATCGAACACTAGAAAGCGAAATTCCCAGAGCACACAAACATTTTAAAGTTCTCGGTGGGGATGCCGAGGGACTTAACTGAATTGGAGACGTTGCACTGGTGTACGAAGACCTCATTTTCTAACCGGCTAGAAAGACCTGCAGTTCCATCGTGTCAATTTTGTGCCTAATTGTGTGTATTGACCAAATAATCCACTTTTCATAGAGGGGCCAAATTAAATATTTCCACGCTTTTTGTGTGTGTGATAAACTAAGTCCGTCTTTAAATTTTCATTTAAAATATATGTTGTAATTTAAAAAAATCTCGTTTTCCACTTACCCACGAATTACCAAAATATAAAAGCTACACAGGCATCCTCCTCAAGCAAATATCACCCCCAAACTGAGATTGCAAAGGTGACACAGGTATTTTTTTTTTCTTTTCAAACGTAGGACATACTTCATCCAAGGGTAGTTGGGATCCACGTGGGTGCGTGTGTGTGAGCACAAGTGAGTGTGTGTGGGGACTAACAGGTTTAAAAATCTGCAGGAACTAATGTCTACTTAACTTAGAACACATGGGTCTTACCCAGTATCAGCCAGTGGATTACAGTAACAACCCCCTGAATGTCTTCCTCCGATGTGCAATCTTTTATGTTATGCTGTATTAAGATTTCTTTTTTGTGTCATATTGTTTAGCTCCGGGGAGAAAAAAAAAAAGAAAACAAAGCAATTAAAAAGATTGACAGGTATGGTTTGTGTGAGACCTATTTGTAATTGTCAGGGTGACGTTGGCAAGAGGAGGAGGAGTAAGAACTGAAGCAGGAAAAGCAGCTCGATGTGTCTGTCTATCAGTTGAGGCTGTCTGAAAGCTCTGCGATCCGAATGTGTGTTATATTTCACTGAGAAGAGGAGAGAGCGAGAGTGCATCTCCCTCTCTCCCAGGAGTTTGGGGGGGACCGTCCACGCTCATCTCGCCCACCCAGTGAATGTCTGCTCCTCGCCCCCTTTGCGCACATTCTCCAGGTTGTTGTTGGCTTTTTTTTTTTTTGAAAGGGGGGTGCTTTTTGTGTATTTTTCAAAAATTTTTCTGCTGGAAGATCGAGACCGGCCAAAAATCCATGATCAAAATGTGTTTGCATTAGATTTCGCATTGGAAGAAGCGGCGATCCCGGCGGCGCAGCCCCCGGGGGCAGCGAGGGGCACAAAGTGGCG